ACCCACGCACCCAGGCACCCAGGCACCCAGGCACCCAGGCACCCACCCACGCACCCACCCACCCACGCACGCACGCGCACGCGCACGCACGCACGCGCACGCGCACGCGCACGCGCACACACGCGCACGCGCACACACGCACACGCGCACACACGCACACACGCACACACGCACACACGCACACACGCACACACGCACACACGCACACACGCAGACACGCACACCGCAGACACGCACCCACCCACCCACCCACCCACCCACCCACCCACCCACCCACCCACACACACACACACACACACACACGCACGCACGCACGCACGCACGCACGCACGCACGCACGCACGCACGCACGCACGCACGCACGCACGCACGCACGCACGCACGCACGCACGCACGCACGCACGCACGCACGCACGCACGCACGCACGCACGCACGCACGCACGCACGCACGCACGCACGCACGCACGCACGCACGCACGCACGCACGCACACGCACACTCCATGCTTAAACAAGATCTGGCAGTGAGAGATGCCAGCAACTCATATGCAACCTGATGGCAGCTTGCAGTCAATACAGTAGCATTCTAAATGGCTCAGGGCTCAAAGTGGGTAGGTAGACAGTTGACCTCTCAGACAGCACGCTGCCTATAATCAAGGCACTTGTCAGTGACCAAACCAATACAAAGCTCTCGCCTCTCTGGGAGCTTTGGAAATTTCTGCCACCATGTTGGAGAGGTGGATCTGAGCCTGACATGCCGAGCACGCAATGCCGTGGTTCTCTGGCACTTCATAGGTCTGATGTTAGGGTTTGGACCACCGTCGACAGCACAGCCGCAATGTTCGACTTGTCGGTGGTTTCCTGGATTTGTGCGAGGGATTTGTGCGACGAAATTTCGGAGCTCACTCCGTGCCTGAACGAGCTGCTCCGCCTTTTTCGCTGCCTGGCTGCAGGTTGTCAGGACTGCCGCGCGCCCAAAAGACATCTGGCGCAAGGGCCCTGGCCCGCATTGCTGCAGGGAAGTTCTCGCGCATGGCCTGAAGGCAACAAACATCCTCTTGCTTTGAGTTTGGCAGTTCAGTTGAAACAACGGGAGCCACACTTGGGTGTCCTAGAGTTTCTGAACTCCGGAGCCTGGAGCTCGGCCACATCGTGCAGGGCTTTGGCTTCCCACCTGTCCCATGAGACAAGGGTGCCAGCCTTAACGGGCACCACTGCCGCCCGACTTGTGTTACTTTCAAGCCAAACGTAAATGCTTAACAGTACTTGTTGTCCTGCCAACGCCAGCCCTTAGGCCCCTAGGCCCTTTGCGCTCACCATTGCCTCCTGTCTTTCTCCTTCTGGAACAAATATTGTGCTTCTGTGGCATCCTGAACCTGAGACAGCACGGGAGAAACCAATTCAAGAGCCGCTTGCCGCATCCTTTCCCGGTCAGCTCCCTTTACAGCCGGTGCTTCTAATCCAACATGGTGCTTCAAAGGGCTGAGATGCGGGCTGCCTCTCCTAGCCTGAAGCTGCGGTCTGATTACAGATTCAGTCCAAGCCGTCCATCAAAGCTCAAAGCCCCCAACAATCAACACAACCATCCCACGCATCCTCCCAAACATCCCAAACAACCCACAATCTAAGGGTTTTTGTATTACACCCTGGGAATGCACCCACTGGGTATAACCCCATCTGGCCATATTGCTGGATAAAACCGTGTAATTTTGAAGCATTCTGGGTCATTTCCCAAGGGTGTAATCCCAGGGTGCAATACAAAAACCCTCAGACACAACATCCGCACAGATCCGGAAACCTAATTGGACCAGGCTGCTCTTGAGCCATCTTGTGGGCGCAGCTCTTCACCAGCAGCGCGCGCCCTGGCCGGGCGAAAGGCATGCCAAGCCCGAAATCAGACTCCAACACCTGGGAAGCGGGTGGTCAAGTGGTACAAACATGTACAAAGTAACACGGGATACGAATGCAGCAAGGCGATCATGGCCCCATGCCTTCGTCATGGCGAAGGCCGTTCTTTCTGAAAATGGCTCTCGCTTTCTTGGCTTCATCTAGCGCCTGCGCAGTGAAGTGATGCAACAATCAGCCACACCCTTTCTCTCTCCAACTCTCCAACCCCAAGTCTCTCTCACTCACTCACTCACTCACTCACTCACTCACTCACTCACTCACTCACTCACTCACTCACTCACTCACTCACTCACTCACTCACTCACTCACTCACTCACTCACTCTCTCCCTCCCTCCCTCTGTCTGTCTTTCTGAATTGATTTCTTTCTTTCTCTCTTTCGCTGTTCTCCGCCCTCGCTCAGTGGCACGTGAACACACATACATGCATAAACTCTCTCTCCTCACACATTCTGTTGCACGCCCCCCCCCCCCCCCAACAAACACTCATGACAGTTGAATGACAAGGCTGTTCGAGCCTCTCCCAGCTTCCTTCGGCCCATGTAGGCGGAGACTGCCGCATGCCGCGCGCCAGCCTCGCCCACCTGCCCAAATGGCCGTCTCTCACGTCCGAACGTGCCGCGCTCGAAGCTTCGAGCGCCGCGTCAGGCGTCGCCTGGTCCCCGAGCTCCCGGAAGATGCTGATGGCCTCCCTGGAGGCAGTCAGCGCCTGGCACAAACCCCAGCGCAGTCGGCACCATTCAATGCAGCCCCCGTCATCCAACCTCCACGTGCTCCTCGCGAGCCTGCTGCACCTCAAGGCTGCTCCAAGAAATGCAACAAAAAATATACACCGTCTCCTTAACAGAAAAACCAGTCCCCCCCCCTCTGTTCCACAATTCCTATTCTTGAACGAGTTATGACACATTTAAGGAGAGGGAGTCATAGCAATATCCAAGGCCAAACTCCGTCAACTGGCCATCGCGCCTGCGCCAAGCCCTCCAGCGCATGAGCTTCCAATTTTCTCTTCTTGATCCGCCGAGTAATTTTCAGGGCCTGCAAGGCTGGCTTCTGCAGTCTGTGGTTTGTTTCGCTTGGGTCCCTGGCAAGGTAACACTTGCAAGAAAAACATGATTCTGAAATGCCCCGCATTTAAAGACGTCCGGCTCAAGTCATTTCAGGCCGAATGAACCCTTCATCGTGATCCCTTCATCCGGCTCTTGGGGCTAAGCCTAACTCTTGGGGTTCCGAGCTCTTGGGCTATGGGTTTTGTGAAGCAGTGCGCGTATGCACAGTGCCAGTACCCAGGCAGCATATGGCCGTGGTTTCCACCCTTGGCAAATGGAACCAAAGACTAAAACCTGCGTAAACCGTAACCCTAGAGCTCAAATCCTGATCCACACGCATATTGAACTGCGAGCTTTCCGTTGGAATCGCATCCCCACCTCCTGTGCCAATGGTAGGGCGGTATCTGGCTCCTGACGGTCACGCGGTTGTGTCACACGCAAACGGAGGGCACGTGCCTCGATATCAAGGAGTGCCTGGATGTGCACTTCCAACCTAGGTTGCTCAAGTTGCTCCGTGTTCAGATCTGACACGGGCTCTCCGCATTTTTGCGGAAGACATAGAGCCACTTATCAAGCTTGCAAGTCATGCACCGATATCAACGTGCGGCAGCTAGCAAAACACGCAGCCACATGCGGGAAGTCTGGGCCCCGAGCATTTCCAGCAACCTCGGGAAGTCACCTGCCCTTCGCCATCTGTCGGCCTAGGTTTCGGGGGTGCCGCGTATGCAAGCCGAAGCTTTCAGAAGCAAGAACTCATGCAGGTTCCGCGTACGCTCTTCAGACTGTCGGGACAAACTGCGGGCCCATGCTTCATGCAGGCAAGCCAAAAGATATTTCTGCGCATCCGTAGCCTTTCATTGGAGCAGCAAGGTGACCAGAGAAACCAGCACTCACTCCTCTTCGTCCTTGTCATCATTGATGTTGAAGTAGCGCATCTGGTAGGAGGTCTTGGTAGGAGCGACGATGCGCAGGAAATCCCGCAGCTGCTGTGACTTCAGGTACTTCTTGCCCAAGTACTTCAGATATCGCTTGGAGAAAGGTGCCTCCACGGTAACATGGACCTTTGACTTCTCCCTGCTGATGCTCACCTTGTCTCCCAAGTTTCCCGTCTTGCCATCCACCTTGATGCGGCCAAGCAGGAACTTCTCGAAGTCCTTGGTCTCAATGATGTTGTCAGAGGCCGGTTGCTCACAGTCGATGGTGTATTTCGCAACACCTTTCTTGCCCTTGTCCGCGCCAGCCTTCTTCTTTAGACCTTTGGTTACCATCTCGCTAGCAACTGAGGCCGAACTTTGGTCTGTTTTGGCGTGTTCGAGCCTGACGGAGAGGCAAAACCAAGGCACAACACGTAAAAGCATCAACTAACTGCGTGGAGCACCCACCTTGGCAGCAAACAAACATGCCATGCCTCTCTACTTGCGCTTGCTGCTGCAAAGGTATCAGCAATCTTTTGCACATTCCGTAGCCAAGTAAATGATCTGCCTGCAACCCTTTCGAAACAACATGGCGGGGACAAACTGCTCACTCCTCTTCGTCCTTGTCATCATTGATGTTGAAGTAGCGCATCTGGTAGGAGGTCTTGGTAGGAGCGACGATGCGCAGGAAATCCCGCAGCTGCTGCGACTTCAGGTACTTCTTGCCCAAGTACTTCAGATATCGCTTGGAGAAAGGTGCCTCCACGGTAACATGGACCTTTGACTTCTCCCTGCTGATGCTCACCTTGTCTCCCAAGTTTCCCGTCTTGCCATCCACCTTGATGCGGCCAAGCAGGAACTTCTCGAAGTCCTTGGTCTCAATGATGTTGTCAGAGGACGGTTGCTCGCAGTCGATGGTGTATCTCAGCGTGCTCTTCTTGCCCTTGTCCGCGCCCGCCTTCGTCTTCAAGCCCTTGGCCACCATCTTGCTTGAGAGGAAAGGGCTGGAAGGCCCTATGTTGGCAGTGACTCACGCAGTAGCTCTAGCCAAACAGCTGCAAATAAGATATTCGCAAGTTCATGTCGTCAATAAAAGCACAACTCGGTCCTCCCTGCGATGTCACCATTGATACTCTATTGGTACGCTAAGATTTGCCTGAACCTCTGAGGGGTATGGTGGGCAAATGCAGGGTCCATACCGAGAAACAGGGTGTCATGCATGCTTCATTCGATGCGTTCTCCTCCAAAATTTAGCGCTTCGCTTGAACTTAGGTTCCTGACCACCTCTGCTAGCAGGACTGCTTGCAAGTACACCTAAGCGCTGCCCAAATTTTCCTCCATTGCAGCAGCTCCAAGATCCATGTGAACTTTGTCTAGCAGCTCTGATCAACTGCCTACTGAAGCTTGGCAAGTATCCATCTACTCTTCCTCATCCTTGTCATCATTGATGTTGAAGTAGCGCATCTGGTAGGAGGTCTTGGTAGGAGCGACGATGCGCAGGAAATCCCGCAGCTGCTGCGACTTCAGGTACTTCTTGCCCAAGTACTTCAGATATCGCTTGGAGAAAGGTGCCTCCACGGTAACATGGACCTTTGACTTCTCCCTGCTGATGCTCACCTTGTCTCCCAAGTTTCCCGTCTTGCCATCCACCTTGATGCGGCCAAGCAGGAACTTCTCGAAGTCCTTGGTCTCAATGATGTTGTCAGAGGACGGTTGCTCGCAGTCGATGGTGTATCTCAGCGTGCTCTTCTTGCCCTTGTCCGCGCCCGCCTTCGTCTTCAAGCCCTTGGCCACCATCTTGCTCGCGGTGCGCTTTGGTCGCAAGGCAGCTGCTTCGAAATGGCTACACCTGAAATCACACCATGCGTAACATCACGCCATGCCACATTTTTCGTTTGCTCTCTTCCTCTCTTGCCCTCTCGGCACACTGTTATTTCAAGACCTTGAAACACTGACGATGCATGCAGCGCATGAAGCAACAACTTCGCCCAGGGGAAGCGAGCATGAGGACTGCACATAACATCCCAATGCTCATTTCATCCTTCAACTGGGTCCTCCAGTAGAGAGGTTAGAATAAGGCTACCGTTTTCTGTAGTCGATTTTAGAAGGGGAACCGAATCTCCCCCAAAAAAGAAAGGGTAGAAGTTGGCACCTGGCTGGGGGATCCTTCCGCTATCCTTCTCGAGGTTCCCGGCAGCTTCTGCGGCCACAGTGAGCCCCTCCTCGTTCCTGGGTCGAGCCCCTCCTCTGATTGTGGCTGTTGCGCTGGGCAGCGGACCGCTTCAACAGTAGGTTCCCACGGACTGCATACTTCGCGGCCTCCGCATGGCAAGGATCACAAGCTTTGGACGCGCGCAGTCAGAAAAAGCTTTGATAGGCACAAGCCCCAATCACAAGCAGCACCGAGTGCGCGGCGGCGATCATTCGACCTGTGGGACTTCAGTTGCGAAAAATCACCATGGGCGGAAACAGGCTTCGCCAAATTGTGTGCTGCAGAATTTGGTAGCTGAACAGGCTCCGAGCAACTGGGCTGTGTTCGACTGAGCTAATGCCTGCCTTCAAAACAGAAGACATGCGCATCAGGCCAAGCAAATCAATTTTGCTCTCGTGCGAGGGCAACTCTGAGCTCCGAGCTGTTGTCCTCTAGCTCTTCAAGGAGGGCAGTCGCCTGCTAAAATACCACACGTTGCAAAACCAAGGTCTTTCACGGCAAGCATGCATGATACTGGCCAAATGCTGCCAGAATGAAGTCGACCCTTGCCTTGCCAGCTGCTTCCAAGGCCTTCTCCCCCAACTCCTACGCGCGGCACGCGAAGTGAATGGCTCTTGGCTACTTGGTTTGGGGAGGGGCAACAACTTCAAACGGAATTCGCCAGGCAAGCTGACTGCATGCATAAGTCCGCAGTCCGCAATCTGGGCGCATTAAAGAGGGCACGCTTTTTCGGGCAAGCAAAGAAGCCAAGCGCTGCAGCCATGACCGAAGACAACTGGGCTAATGGCAACTTCAGATTCATCCGGAAGACGCAACTAATCAGAGGCCCCCCAAGAATAGCTTATTTTCCTTCAACAAGGGAGCCCTAGGCTGACATTCAGAGCCACTACCACCTTTCCGCAAAGGGGACTCGAGCGGCAGATTCAGATTCGCTTCGTCGGACCCAGTGTCTCAGGCGGACCCCCCTCCGTCAAGACGTGCACCTTCCAGGGCGAGGTATGAGCAACCCGGTTTTTTGTCGAACTCCCTGCAACCAGGCATGCCCGCCAAAGCGCATTTTTGCAGGTTTGTCCATGTATTGCCGACCTGCTGGCGCTGTTTGATGGTGATGCTGGCCCAAAGTATGCGGAGTAGACCTCACCCCTCAGCCAGTGCCCACGCTTGTGCCGCGATATCCTTCCAACCAGGGCCACCCGATGTTCCTCTCGTGCTGCAAGGTGCATCAATCAAGGCGTCGCATTGATCGCCTTGCCCATGGCACACTGGCGCAGTGCAACAGCCTCGACTTTTGTCAGCAGCGCAGCTGAGAACCTTCAGCACACATGCTTGTCACGGCTTCTGACTGGCATGGGGTAGCTTTTCGTAATACACATAGACGTGGGCAATCAGTACATACAAAACGTTTGCCGACATGGCCCGTGCAACATGGCTGCTCTTGCAAGTCAGCCTTCTGGCCAAGTGGCCCATAATTTGGCCGTGATGCCAGAACAAACGCGAGAGACAAGGCATCTGGAGCCACCTGACCAATGCCAAAGACCTTCCCGATAGAAATGAATCACTGAACACAGGACGTCGGGAAAGCATCTTTCAAGCCTCATTGAACTGCATCTGGCTCAACAAGGCCAAGGAGTGACGCCAAAGTAGTTGGGCAGCACAAGCGCTGATGCCGGGGCTATAGCCTCAGATCTGATAGTTGTCAGACAGTTCGTAGGAACATTCGTGCCTTCAGTCGGGGGACCTTCAGTCGGTTCTGTGTGCTTGCTTTTTTTCTATCGCGCATCCATCTTGCTTACCGGGGGGCTGGAAACACTGAGCTCCGTGTGGGACACTTGCATCTGCATCAATACCTCAAAGGCAGAAACTGATTCACCCGGGCTTGGCTGCCATTTTGACATTGAAGTCGTTTACATTGCTCCACACGGCTTCAGCATGACCTGCCTCCAAGCAAAGTTGCCATCGACCAGCTGCCCCCAGTATACCAAGCGCCTCAGAGGCCCATGCGAGACAGCCTGCCCTCAACGCCCACGCTTGAGCTGCGTGAGCGCCTCCCAAGTTGGCCCAAGCGTCGCTGTTGTAGCACACGGCATCCAGCTGTGGAAGGCGCAGCAGCTGCAGAACATAGCTCCATTGGGCCTGCCCCAAGGCCTGCGCAAAGACTAAGACCTGTTTAGGTGCTCCGGGCGAATCCCGGAGCTAGAACTTCTCAAGGTCAGAGCTTCACAAGGTGCCTGAATGGCCGCGCTCACACCAGTGGCGTCAGGAGTGTCTTCGGATATCATTGCTAGTGCCTGCCTGCATGGGCAAGAAGCAGTGCAACATGCGGGCAAATCTTTGCGCCAAGTTGCTGCCACAGAGTACCACGAGCGCATGCGCTCAACGCACAGTTCAAGCCTCAGGACGTGGGTGAGACCTAAAGCCTCTACATCTGCACTCGCGGCAACGGCTGCCCCACCCCACTGTGCTGTGCAATTGCTTTGTTGTTTTTCTGTGGCCGAGCACGGATGACAATGGATGTCTCAAAGCATGCAAAACAATGCGTTGCACGCAAGCTCAATCGAGGATCTCTAGCAACTTCATGCCATTCTGCTTTCTGTTCAAACTCAGGACCCACAAGAGGGATCTGGATTTGTCAGAAGGGTCAATAACGCTGAGGGCAAGCAAAGCTCGCAACGGTTCATGCAGAACGAGGCGAGGAAAATCATCTTCCTGGAATTCTTGCTGAAAGACAGGCCCGGCTGGCGCGCAAGCGGCGCTGCACAGAGCTCAGCAGGCACAAGGCCGTCTGCCAGTGGGTTCCGCGATGGCAGCTACTCATGGCTGAAGTGTACGACACCAAACCTGGAGACGGCTCGACATGTCTCAAACTAGGGGACCCACTGGTTTCCTTTAAACACCATCCAACACAACCTCCCCATTTTGAGGGAATGGGTCGGAGAGAAATCCACAGGCATTCTTGAAAGCTGAGTGACTTGGCGGCCAATAGGCGCCCAAAGCCACAAGGGCAAATGGCCAGCGCCCACCAGTCCTAGGCCCATGACCGGCGGAGTTCTGAGCGTGAACAAAAATGTTTCTCGAATTTGAGCGTAACATGGATGTGGATCTGTGGGCAGTAAACGATAAAATGGCATCACACATTGTCTGAAACTCAGGCGTGCAGTTTCCCTTGCCTTGCTGTCTCAAGTATTTGCATGCCAAACCTATTTCGTGAGCAGGCATCTCGTACGAGCTGGTGACGCAGTTGAAGCAAATGAGGTCTGCCACCACCTGCCAGCGATGAACCTAACACCCACACCATGGCTTCAAGCATCATTGTCGCCCGCTGCTTCCCCACCAAAACTCCTTGAGACTTCAATCTATTGGCTGTCTTGCATGCAGCGTTGGCTCAGTCGACTGGCTGCGCTTGAAGAAATCTGGATCTAGACAGTCAAGCCTCAAAGTTCACACCATACAATAGTGAGTGCGGCCACTGTTTATTCTTTCCAAAGCGTCCATTGCTCCAGTGAGCGCCCCTAATGCCACCAGGCAACTCTGTGCCAATGTTCACACCTTTGCACTTATCGACTTGCACCATGTTGGCAAGCTGGTGCCCGGGTCTTTGAGCAGAATCAGCCGACTAGCTGTTGCAACGTTGCCATAAGAGCCCATTTCCGCTTTCCCCTCGAGGGCTGGGAGCTGCGGCCCTTCGAAGCCATGGCTTTCCTGGCCGGCCTGTGGCCTTTGGCCTGTTCGTCTCTGGTCTGTCGTCCGCTTTCACTCCGATTTTCACGCTTTTGATTGCTTCTCTTCTCGTCGCGCCCCACAAGCACAGCCCCCCCCCGCAAAACGCACCTGGAGGTGTGTTTGGGGGGGGGGTGAGGCCCACTGCATGGGGTATCTTATCCGCAAAGGGACCACAAGGTAGAGGATCTTTATTTGGTAGGTCCTGGATCTATTCTGGAAAGTCCAAGTGTCAATACTGATGGATTGATACTGGATTAGCCCTGGTTGACTGTGCGCTGTGGTTTACCTTGAAAGTGGTCCGTTGTAGCACCTTTGTGTCACGGATGCAATGGCTCAGTGAGCTATGTGCATCTGATGTGTGACATGAAAGGAATGGTGTTGCATGGAGATCAATGGGTCCGAAAAACAAACGCAAAACAGACACCAGTTTCTTTTGATCTCCAGCTATTGGCTTCTTGGCCTTTGACCGTAGCCATTCAAGTGTGTGCCGTAGCCATAATAGATGTGTCAGTGACAGATAAGATATATATCTTGTCAGAGTTAAAATACTGTATTCCTTCACCCCTTCTTGGCGCGGATGAAATGTGCTTGTTGGCAAACGGCAAAGAAAACTCTGTGCTGTACTCGTTGCGGATACCTAATTGTATCAAAAGATGATGCACAATGCTATGTGCATGCAGGATCGGTGTGAAGCTATTGATCTCTCGCAGAATAGTCTTGTTGATGGTGAGGATCAATTGGTCGGCATTCGTGGCGCTGTTCTCGTCTCTTCTCTCTTTCGAGCTTCTGAAAGCATCTCATGGCTTCCACGGATGGTTGCTGGTTTCAGATTGGCTGGAATAGTCGTAGTCATACCAAGTCGAAGAACTATGGCCTTTGCATCCAGGTTGATCGTAGCCGTAAGCCTTGTTATATCGCCAGGAACTTCCCCAAGTGTTCTCCTTCTTTTTCTGATTGTACTCCTGGGCTCTCGTTCCTTGCTTTCAGATCGGCTTCGGATGTAGACCATGAGCGGGCTGTGTGAATCGGCGTCACATGGGCCATTCAGGAACATCTCGTTGGTGATGTGCTTGAAACGCTCGGCTGATGTTTTCTTCTCCTCATCGGTCATGGACTCAATCTCGGATCTTCGGAAACGATTTTGGATGTCGGTCTTTCCCCGTCCAAGTACAAATGTCATCATGCAATCTGGCTTGATATGTCTGCATGATGCCGTATTCCGGATGTTGGCATCGCCAGTGATTGCGTCGCATTGGTAAGTCGCAGGGCTGTGGGAAATGACCACTTCTGTGATACAACAGCAAGGGCTTCCCAAAGAGTAACCCCCATACAAAAAAAGAAGGATATTCCCACAGAAGCGGGGATAAACCCCTTGATCCCACAACCCTGGTAAGTCGTAACAAGTGGCATGATTCCATTCTGAAAATCCTCTGTTGCTGCTCCATGAGTGATATTCGGATGGATATGGAAAACTCCAACTGTAGCATATGGAAGTCCGGCTCGAAGAATGCGTCGACTACCGTAGTCCGCATTCGGAGCCTCTGTTGACTTCGCCAAGGAATTCGTTACTTTGGTCGATCTGGATCACCACAATTTCCTTGTTGTGCCCATATATCTGGATGGCAGTGCGTGGTGGCAATCTCTGGCCGACATAGTCCTTGAGGTTCTCCTTTGTCATGTGAGATCCGGTCGTTGCCAGGCAGTCGACGGTTGGCGTGTCATACTCGGGATCTATACAACCGATCTCCTTGCCGAAGAAATTATCGAGATGTGTCTTGCCAAGAGTTCGACTCTGGCGTGCTCATTGCCACGGACAAAACATGCGATGGGTCGTGCAGACCAGGATTTGATCACGATGCCCTGGAGATCGAGAAATGCGTCCGCTTCGTTGAGGCATATGATGTGAGCACTGTTGTGCAGCAACATTCGTGTGATCGGTCTGTCTCGCATGGGCATGCCGTTCGACTCTCTGCCGTCCAACTTCAGATTCCTCGTGAGGTTCCCATGGTTCATTGTGAGTATGTTTATAGTCATGGAAGAGTAGCAGTCTCGTGCCTGGAACTTGCCCATCACTGGCCCTTCAGTGGCTTGCATTAAGGATCCGAGGATGTCCGTATATGCCTTGATCATCTTGTGTCGTGAGAGATTTCAGTCCAAGTTGCAGTCGGATCGGATATCCAGATGCTGGTTGTGCAGCTCTGTACTCTTCCCTGGATGGCTTGTTGCTGCGGTGGCGAAAGTACAATACTTCCTCATCAACGTGTGCGTGAGGATCGACGTGTTTCCGGGAATCAATCTCACACTGGTTGAGGTCCTTGTGAACATTCGGTACACTGGCGCCTTTCCTTTCTCGTTCCTGATATGTTCCGTCATAATCTGGCAATACAAATGCGATCTCAAATCGGGATTGCCAATATTTCGGAAACATGGTCATCAAGAAAATGAGGGGCTTGTTGTCGAGGAAACTCGTCGCGTGGCATCACTGTGCGGCCTCGTAAAGCTCGCAGGATCCGTCAGGATTAACTCGGATTTCTCTTTTGAGCTTCTTGGTGCTTCTCTTCTTTGGGTCCTGTCGCAGGCATCGGGAGAACAATCGGCTCAATCTCTCTACTCTCCAGAGGATGAAGTGGACAATCTGCTGTGCCGTGCACATGAATTCTGCATTCATGAGGGTCCTTCTCATGTCGATCTGCTTGTTGCGGCATACCATCGGAATGATATCGGTTCCGTAATCATCCGGATCGGCATTGGTATGGCAACAAATGCTGTAGATTGATGTAGTCCATGTACGCATGCTCCGTGTGTTGCCCGTGTCCTTGGAAGGTAGGATGCCACCAGGCATCGAATCGTGCCACGAGCCAGAAAACCTTGTTTCCCTGTTTTCTCTCATGTAGTAGCCCTGCACGTAGCTCAGGAATCGACTGTTCCAAAATAAATCAGGATGATCGGATTCCTTCAAGAGGGGAATGGTTTTCAGGCTTGTTTGATGTGGTCCATCTGGATTGATCGATAGATGGAGGAGGAGACTGCATTGTTGGTCTTCTGGGCAATGGTGCCCTTCTCCGTCTCCTCATCAATGGCGCTCTGAGGCGATGCCTTGATCTTCGGTGTCAATCGAAGCGTTGGTAGATTCATCGGCATGGCCTTCTGCTTGGGCTGATGGCGTTCTCCGGAAAGTTGCTCCTTCCTCTTCTCTTCTTCCACTGTGTCGGATTCTTGCACCGTAGAATCGGATTCTCGATCATAATCGGCCTTGGCCATGTCGACATCCTTGGTATTCCTTGGTTGCCTGAGGATTGGATGGTGCTGGATCTTCCTCATTGATCTGCTCCATGGGGATGTCATCGAGTTCTTCTTGTTCATCATGGACTGCCCTTCTCTGCGATGCAGGCTTCGGTGTCGGTGACTTCGGAGGTGCCAGTCCGAAGATATTGTTGAGAAATGGCATACCGACACAGGTATTGTACATACAAGATCGAATTGGTCAGGATGTTGAAAGCCAAATCGGCTGCGGATGCAAACACATATTTCTTGAGTTTCAAGAATGGCTGAATGTAAAAGGTCAACACGGCATTGAGGAACTGAGAAATCAAAAAGGGAAAATCATGCATCAAATCTTGTGGACATGTCGATCATGCCCAGATTCCCCAATAAGCAAACATGGATTCTGCTATACCGACTCCTGCGAAAGCAAAGATGTCGGGTCCGTGCTTTGTGTTGTGTGCGAGCCACTCAACCAAGAATGCCTTGTTCTGCAACATGGTACGAGATGGCGGATGTGCATCGACATTCAACAGGTTGCCCGTGAGGACGGCCGCATCTGGACTTGCTGAGTGTTTCGTCAGCGAATCGGCTAGGCAATAGTCGCTTCGTACATGTGCAAGATCATGCATCTGTCCGCTAGTACTTTCCTCTCGCAACATTTGGATCAAGTGCATGGTTTCCTTCTGTTCTGGTTGATGGGTTGTTGATGCTGCCGTAACCAAATTGTTTGCGTCAGTCCGAATGTGAACATCGGCGATTTCGCCTGTAATGTCTGACCAGGGGCCGCGAAGAAACAAAGCTGAACCGTAACGACGCATGAGTCCGTGCAGTTCTGCAACAATGTTGGACATGGTTGTAGCGGTGATCTTATGCGTCTCGTAAACAACCAGTGAACCTCTCGAGTTCAGTACCTCGTCGGAGATCTCGTTCTTCTGCAAGAAAGATAACATGTGCACGTTGGGGTGACTTAGCTTCGTTGTTGCGATAGGATGCATCTGGACAACCAACAATACGCGTCTTCCCATCAAGGGGCCAGAATCTCATGCTAAGCGGTATGCTCTTGATGGTTCTGACTGTTTTATTGATGGCGCGAACGTCCTCAAGGGGCGGTGATGCTGCTTTGGATGCGCACCTGGAGAACTGGTAACCAATGTGGAATTGTGTCCGCGATTGTAACCAGTTGAACTGACCTAGAACACTTCTGTATGCAGTGTGCATCTGTGGCTGTGGCGTGAGTGGAGTGTCATCTTTCAAGTTCTTGAAGTTCGTCAATGGCCACG